TGAAACCCCATCTTTAAAAAAAAAAAAAAAAAAAAGAGCCTGGGCTGTCTATATTTGAATCCCAGCGTGCCTCCAAGGCTGGGTAGCTTTGGGTAAGTTACTCAACTTCTCTGTCCCTCAAGTTGTATGAAATGAAGGTAACACCTACGTCCACCTTCAACAATGAGAAACCGGAAATATGATTAAGAATTGAGTTTCAAACTGGGTGTGGTGGTTCACACTTGTAATCTCAGTACTCTGAGAGGCTGAGGCAGGAGGATCACTTAATTCCAAGGGTTTGAGACCAGCCTGGGCAACATCGTGAGACTCCCATCTCTATAAATTTTTTTTTTATTTTTTTATTTTTATTATTATTTTTTTTTAATGAGCAGGGTGTGGTGGCATGCACCTGAGGTCCCAGCTATTCGAGAAGCTGAGGCAGGAGGATCACTTCAGCCCAGGAGGTAGAGTCTAGTGAGCTATGATTGTGCCACTGCACTCCAGCCTGGGCCACAGAGTGAGGAAAAACTGTGTTTTGAATTCCTGACATCAGGTGATCCGCCGGCCTCAGCCTCCCAAAGTGCTGGGATTACAGGTGTGAGCCACTGGGCACGGCCTAAGGAAGACTGATTTAACATTCTAGGAAGAGGTCGGGTGCTGTGTCTCACCCCTGTAATCACAGCACTTTGGGAGGCTGAGGTGGGTGGATCACCTGAGATCGGGAGTTCGATACCAGCCTGACCAGCATGGAGAAACCCATCTGTACTAAAAATACAAAAATTAGCTGGGTGGGCATGGTGGCACTCACCTGTAATCCCAGCTACTCTGGAGGCTGAGGCAGGAGAATCACTTGAACACAGGAGACAGAGATTGCAGTGAGCCAAGATCAAGCCACTGCACTGGGTAAGAAATCGAGACTCTGTCTCAAAAAAATAAATAAATAAAAATAAAAAGCAGAGCCGGGCACGGTGGCTCAAGCCTGTAATCCCAGCACTTTGGGAGGCCGAGGCGGGTGGATCACGAGGTCGAGAGATCGAGACCATCCTGGTCAACATGGTGAAACCCCGTCTCTACTAAAAATACAAAAAATTAGCTGGGCATGGTGGCACGTGCCTGTAATCCCAGTTACTCGGGAGGCTGAGGCAGGAGAATTGCCTGAACCCAGGAGGCAGAGGTTGCGGTGAGCCGAGATTGCGCCATTGCACTCAAGCCTGGGTAACAAGAGTGAAACTCCGTCTCAAAAATAAATAAATAAAAAATAAAAAAGAAGAACTGTTGATGCCAATAAATAACAAATAAGGAAGGCTGGGAGCAGTGGCTCATGCCTGTAATCCCAGCACTTTGAGAGGCCGATGTGGGTGGATCACCTGAGGTCGGGAGTTCAAGACCAGCCTGGCCAACATGGTGGTTGTCTGTCTCTATCAAAAATACAAACATTAGCCCTGGTCAGGTGCAGTGGGTCATGCCTATAATCCCAGCACTTTGCGAGGCTGAGGCAGGCAGATCACTTGAGGTTGGGAGTTCGAGACCATCATGACCGACATGGAGAAACCCCTGTCTCTACTAAAAAATACAAAATTATCCAGGCATGGTGGCGCACACCTGTATGGGAGGCTGAGGCGGGAGAATCGCTTCAACCCGGGAGGCAGAGGTTGCAGTGAGCCCAGATCACACCACTGCACTCTAGCCTGGGCAACAGAGCGAGACTCTGTCTCAAAACCAAAAGGAAAAGAGAGGAAAGGGGAAAGGAAAATGACGTCTCCGAGAGCAGGGCTTCCGTCTGCCTTGCTCAGTCCTGTCTCCCAGCCCCTAGAAGACAGCATGCCACATAGCAGGTGCTCAAGAAACTATTTGTGGACTCAATGAGTGAATACATAAATGAAAATGAGAGTCAACTCTTCACTTACCAAATTAGCAAAGCTCTCTAAAAGGCTTAAATTCAGTGCCAGTGAGGATGCCGTGAGTGTGAATGAGTGGAGATTATTTTAACTTTTCTAGATGCCAGCTTGGTACTCTTACTGAGTAATTCCATTTCTGGGACTTGTTCTAAGGAAATAATATAAGATGCGCACAAAAGCTTCTGCACGAAGATTTTCTCTATAGCACTATTTGTAACAGCCAAAGTAATACAAATAGCCTTAATATTTGTATCATAAACTTTTTGTTTGGTTGAGACAGAGTTTTGCTCGTATCGCCTGGGCTGGAGTGCAGTGGCATGATCTTGTCTCACAGCAACTCTGCCTCCCAGGTTCAAGCGATTCTCCTGCCTCAGTCTCCTGAGTAGCTGGGATTACAGGCATGTGCCACCACACCCGGCTGATTTTGTATTTTTAGTAGAGACGGGGTTTCTCCGGGTTGGTCAGGCTGGTCTCAAACTCCTGACCTCAGGTGATCCGCCCGCCTTGCCCTCTCACAGTGCTGGGATTACAGGCATGAGCCACTGCTCCCGGCAATAAACTTTATATATTTCTAACAATAAGGTCTAGAGAAAGGCTTTCTAAACTACAGATCAGCAATATTGTAGAATATCATGTAATTATTTTAGATAAAATTTTAAAAAGTTTTATGACAAATTAAGTAGAAATACGCAGGGCCTGGCATGGTGGGTTACCCTTGTAATCCCAGCACTGTGGGAGGCCAAGGCAGATGCATCGCCTGAGGTCAGGAGTTCAAGACCAGCCTGGCCAACATGGCGAAACCTCATCTGTACTAAAAATACAAAAATTAGTTAGGTGTGGTAGTGGGCACCTTAATCCCAGCTACTAGTGGAGCTGAGTCAGGAGAATCGCTTCAACCCAGGAGGCAGCAGTTGCAGTGAACTGAGATCATACCACTGCACTTCAGCCTGGGTGACAGAGTGACACTCAATCTCAAAAATAAAGTAAAATAAAAAGTAGAAAAATGCAGGATGCAAAAGTGCTTCCGATAATGTACCCTCAACACAAAACAGAGAAAACCTACTTGTAACTTTAAGATTACAAGTAATCTTGCTTGTAATGGGTTGGGTGCAGGCCGGGTGTAGTGACTCACGCCTGTAATCCAAACACTTTGGAGGCCAAGGCGGGCGGATCACCTGAGGTCGGGAGTTCAAGACCAGCCTGACCAACATGGTGAAACCCCGTCTTTTAAAAAAAGGAAAAAAAAAAAAAAAATAGGTTGGGTGCAGTGGCTCATGCCTGTAATCCCAGCACTTTAGGAGGCCGAGGCAGGTGGATCACCTGAGGTCAGGAGTTGGAGACCAGCCTGACCAACGTGGTGAAACCTCGTTTCTACTAAAAGTACAAAATTAGCTGAGTGTGATGGCTCATGCCTGTAATCCCAGCTACTCTAGAAGCTGAGGCAGGAGAATCGTTTGAACCCAGGAGGCGGAGGTTGCGGCAAGCCGAGATCACACCACTGTACTCCAGCCTGGGTGACAGAGCCAGACTCTGTCTCAAAAAAAAAAAAAAAAAAAAGTTACAAGGAAGGATTGAGAGCAAATAATGGTGACAGAATTGCCAGTGGTGTTTCTTTTTGTCTTTTGCTTATCTGTCATTTTCAAACTTTCTATGTAAACATGGATGCGATTTTTCTTTTTTTGTAAAGTGGGAAGAAAAAAAAATGATCTTCAGAAAAAACAGTTTACCTCCTCGGACCCATCAGGGATTGCAGTCCTGGAGATGGGTCCAAAACGCAGAGATGCCTGTCTGCAGCATGGTTACCCCAACAAGGACTTGCAGAAGGACCAGAGGTTCACTAATAGGGAATTGGGGGAGTAGGTTAAACAGGCCCCTGAAGAACCTTAGGCAGTTGTTAAAAATTATGTTTATGAAGGCTGGGCACAGTGGTTCACTCCTGTAATCCTAACACTTTGGAAAGCCGAGGTGGGCAGATCACCAGAGGTCGGGAGTTGGAGACCAGCCTGACCAACATGGAGAAACCCCGTCTCTACTTAAAAAAAAAAAAAAAAATCAGCCAGGCACGGTGGCACATGCCTGTAATCTCAGCTACCTAGGAGGCTGAGGCAGGAGGATGGCTTGATCCTGCAAGGCGGAGGCTGCGGTGAGCCGAGATTGCGCCATTGCACTCCAGCCTGGGCAACCAGAGCGAGACCCCTTCTCAAAAAAAAAAAAAAAAAAAAAAAATCAGTCGGGTGTAGTCGTGCACACCAGCTAATCAGGAGGCTGAGGCAGGAGAATTGCTTGAGCCCAGAAAGTGGAGGTTGCAGTGAACCCAGACTGTGCCACTGCACTCCAGCCTGGGCAACAGAGGGGGACTCTGTCTCAAAACAAAGCAAAAACAATGTTTCTGAAGAGCTTGGAGCACCATGGCAAGAGCTTATTTGTGTATAAAATCACGTGTAGGGCCCGACACGGTGGCTTATGCCTGTAATCCTAGCAGTTTGGGAGGCCAAGGCAGGTGGATCACGTGAGTTCAGGAGTTTGAGACCAGCCTGACCAGCATGGTGAAACTCCATCTCTACTAAAAATACAAAAATTAGCTGGGTGTGGTGGCACATGCCTGTAATCCAGCTACTAGGGAGGCTGAGGTAGGAGAATCGCTTGAACCTGGGAGATGGAGGTTGCAGTGAGCCAAGATCATAGCATTGCACTCCAGCCTGCCAACAGAGCGAGACTCTATCTCAAAAAAAAAAAAAAAAAAAAAAATCATGTGTATTACAGCAAGATATGAAATGATATATGATCATCTGTTGAAATCCATGGGAGACTGGTTCCAGGACCTCTTACAGATACCAAAGCCTGAGGATGCTCAGGTCCCTGATATAAAACAGCGTAGTATTTGCACAGAACCTGTACCTATCCTCACGTATATTTTATTGATTGAGTGATTGAGGTAAAGTCTTGCTCTGTCATCCAAGCTGGAGTGCAGTGGCGCAATCTCGGCTCACTGCAACCTCCACCTCCCTGGTTCAAGTGATTCTCCTGCCTCAGATTCCTGGGTAGCTAGCTGGTGGGCACCACCATGCCTGGCCAATTTTTGTATTTTGTATTTTATTATTTGTTTATTTATTTATTTTTTAGATGGAGTTTCGCTCTTGTAGCCCAGGCTGGAGTGCAATGCTGCAGCCCCAGCTCACTGCAACCCCCGCCTCCTGGGATCAAGCAATTCTCCTGCCTCAGCCTCCCAAGTAACTGGGATTACAGGTAAGCACCACCATGCTGGGCTAATTTTTGTATTTATACTAGACACGGGGATTCACCATGCTACCAGGCTGGTTGTGAACTCCTGACTTCAGGTGATCTACCCACCTTGGCCTCCCAAAGTGCTGGGATTACATGTGCACACCACCACACCCGGCTAATTTTTACATTTTTAGTAGAAACGGAGTTTCACCATGTTGACCAGACTGGTCTCGAACTCCTGACCTCAAGTGATTCACCCTCCTCAGCCTCCCAAAGTGCTGGGATTACAGGGAAAAGCCACCTCGCACAGCCTCCTCTTATATATTTTAAATCATCTTCACATTACTTGGAATGCCTAATGCAGTGCAAATACTAAGTAAATAGTTGTTCTACTGTATTGCTTAGGGAATAATGACAAGAAAAATAGTCTGTACACATTTAGTACAGACAACATTTTTTTCACGAATATTTTTGATTCACTGTTGGTGGAATCCATGGATGTAGAAACCCACGGAACTGGTACGCGGTAGCACCTCCTCTCTCTCACACTATATATAGAGAGGGGATTTTATTTATATATGTCAACGTAGTGGAAATGTAAGTTTTCATATATACATGTGAAACTGGTAGGACAACAACGGGATGCTAACCACACAATTTCACAAAGATAAACCCTGGAAACCCTGGAAATAGACGTGTCAGAACGCTGTCACTGGTGGGAGAAACGTGGCTGCTGCAGGGGGGACATACGCTCATCTGTGGGATGTGTCTCCTCAGAGTTTTTGTCTGTACGTTTTCCTCACATATTTATTTATTTATTTATTTTTAATTAATTAATTAATTTTTTTTTTTTGAGACAGTCTTGCTCTGTCACCCAGGCTAGAGTGCAGTGGCATGATCTCGGCTCACCGCAACCTCCACCTCCCAGGCTCAAGAGATTATCATGCCTCAGCCCCACTAGTAGCTGGAACCACAGGCACTGGCCACCACGCCAGGCTAATTTATATATTTTATTTTATTTTATTTTATTTTATTTTATTGAGACAGAACCTTGCTCTGTCACCCAGGCTGAAGCGTAATGGCGCAATCTCGGCTCACTGTAAGCTCCACCTCCCGGGTTCAAGCAGTTCTCTGCCTCAGCCTCCTGAAGCGCTGAAATGACAGGCGCCTGCCTCCATGCCCGGCTAATTTTTTGATTTTGTAGTGGCGAGATCTCACTATGTTGTCCAGGCTGGTCTCCCATTTCTGGCCTCAAGCGATCCTCCCACCTTGGCCTCCCAAAATGCTGGGATTACAGGTGTGAGCCACCTCACCTGGGCTCGGTTTGATCACTTTACTCAGCTGCATTGGCCAGGCACTGATGACTAGTCCCAGCTACTTAGGAGGCTGAGGCAGGAGAATCACTTGAACCTGGGAGGCAAAGGTTGCAGTGAGCCGAGATCCTGCCATTGCACTCCAGCCTGGAAACATCAAGACTCTGCCTCAGAAGAAAAAAAAAATCGGCTACATTGCATGTCCGAGAATGGCTGCGTCTTGGTTTATTTCATTTTTCCCTTGTGAGTGGCATCTGGTCTGTTTCCAGCTTCTTTCCCATGGTCAGCATAAATAGCCCTGCAGTGAAGATCGCCGAGTTCGTGTTCACGTGTGCCTCTAGGGAGATTTGGAGATGTGGAAATTCAGGAACCAAAGGGCCCCATATCAAATGTCAGCAGACCTGCCCCGTGGCCTCCACAGAGACTGCACGCCCTCCTCTCCCACTATTTTGCTATTGTCAGGTTTTCCATTTTGAACCTGTATTCTTTTTTTTTTTCTTCCTTTTTTTAGGGGGTGGCGGGGGGACGGAGTTTCCCTCTTGTCACCCAGGCTGGAGTGCAATGACACGTTCTCGGCTCAAGCCACCTCCGCCTCCTGGGTTCAAGTGATTCTCCTGCCTCAGCCTCCCGAGTGGCTGGGATTACCGGCATGCACCACCATGCCCAGCTAATTCTTTGTAATTTTAGTAGAGACCAGGTTTCTCCATGTTGGTCAGGCTGGTCTCCAACCCCCACCCTCAGGGGATCCGCTCACTGCCTCAACCTCCCAAAGTGCTGGGATACAGGCTCGAGCCACTGTGCCTGGCCAGTATTTTTCTTATCTATTTATTTATTTATTATTAGTTTTTGAGACAAAGTCTTACTCGGTTGCCCAGGCTGGAGTACAGTGGCTCCAAGGGCGGGGAGGAGCAGTGATGGTCACGTCCTGGCATTTGGTGCGCAGCTGGGGGCAGAGTCCAGGGGGTCAGTGCCAAGCCCACGCCAGAACCTTCTGGGCCAGCAGTTCTGGGCCAGTGGGCACCCACCTGGAGCCTACATGGCTCATTTGGGAAATGAAGCTGATCTAGTCTATTTCAGGGAGTTCATTTATTAATTCCCTCATTGATTCGAGAAATATTGACTGAGCATCTCCCATCTGCCAGGCACGGTTCCAAGTACTAGGCCACCACTGGGGACAGAAACTCGCCCCCACGGGCTGATGCTTCAGGGGCACAGCTGGGACCACAGCAGCTCGGACGGGGCGGGAGCCCTCGGGAGGGAGGGAGAGGGCAGAGCGGGGTGGGGGGGGATGGCGGGGGACAGATAACAGGAGGGGACTGAGATGTACAGGGGTCAGAGACCTTGAGAGACACGACAGAGATACACAGAGGGCAGAGACAGAGACAGGGGTCAGAGACCTTGAGAGACATGACAGAGATACACAGAGGGCAGAGACAGAGACACACAGAAGGGTCAGAGACAGGGAGAGACACAGATATGAGACAACTGCCGGATATGGTTGGGTGTGAGAGTTTGAAGGCCACAGCTCTGGTTCAAATCCCAGCTCCAGCGCCTCCCTGCTGTGGGGCCTGAAGCCAGGCTCACAGGCTCATCTTGCCTTGGTTTCCCCATCTGCAAATGGCGCCCATTTCCTCGGGCTGTTGTGAGGACTGAGGAAGACGCTTCTCGGCTGCGGGGTGGTGGAGGATCTGGTGCAGTGGGCTCAGCAGAGACGGGGCTCCCTTCCGTTCTGCCCCCACCCCAAACCCGGGCCCTCCGCTGCTGAGAAATGCTGAGTGATGCTAAAATATATTGTTTGCTAAGAAGAACGGTGGCGAGGGAAGCCTGGCTGCTCCCCCAGGGGAAAACTGCTTGGGGCATTCTAAAGTAGCAGAACGGTGTCTGCATATCATATACTAGTTAAAACAAACTTTTTTTTTTTTTTTTTTTTTGAGAGAGAGTCCCGCTCTGTTGCCACACTGGAGTGCAGAAAAACTGGGACCCAGAGAGGGACAGGGACAGCCCAGGAATCCCCACTGGTGACAGCACAGCCGGGTCCTCACAAATCCAGCTCACCGCAACCTCCGCCTCCTGGGTTCAAGCAATTCTCCTGCCTCAGCCTCCTGAGTAGCTGGGATTACAGGCATGTGCCACCATGCCCGACTAATTTTTTGTATTTTTAGTAGAGACAGGGTTTCACCATGTTAGCCAGGATGGTCTTAATCTCTTTTTTTTTTTTTTTTTTAATAAGAAATTTTTTCAGGAGAGAGCTGGAGTGGGTCTCGATCGCTTCACTTTGTGATCCGCCCGCCTCGGCCTCCCAAAGTGCTGGGATTACAGGTGTGAGCCACCCAGCCCAGCCCAAAACAATTATTTAAGCACGGGCTCCGTGGCCCTGCCCGGGCTCCCCCGTGGAGAAAGCTTTCCGGCTTGTCCTTGATCAGTGCTAAGCAGGCACAGGCTGCCCACCTGGTTCATCCTGGTTCTATGAGAAGACGCCGAACACCTGCTGTTAACAGTCATCACCTGTTCAGCGAGAATAACCACGTGGGTCAGCGTCTGCTCGAGACCCTCGCCCAGAGTGCTGGCAGCCCGAGACTCAGCTCTGAAGGCTGTCGGTCCCCCCGGATAGCCCCACTTTGCTCTTCTATCTGGTGCGCCGCCTGGGTGGGCGTCTCTACGGCCGAGCTGCACTCAGTACTCCCGGCTATTGGTCTCTGACCCCCCAGACTCCTGGAGTCTGGCCACGAAGCCCATGTCCCCACGAGTGGTGGCAGGTGCCTGTAATCCCAGCTACTCAGGAGGCCGAGACATGAGAATTGCTCGAAGCCGGGAGGTGGAGGTTGCAGTGAGCTGAGATCCCGCCACAGCCCTGCAGCCCGGGTGACAGGGGGAGACTCCATCTCAAAAACAAACCCCAAAACAAAAACATCTTCTGAGCAGATACGTCTAGAAAGGAAATGTGTCCCCATCACCATCCTCCTACCCACTGGGGTAACCATACAAATATTTTGGTGGAATCTTTCTAGAAATGTATCCATATCTGTAGCTGCTTGGGAGGAAGCTACTTAAGAGGCTGAAGTGGGAGGATTGCTTGAGCCCAGGAATTCAAGAGCAGCCTGGGCTGTATAGTGAGACTACATCTCCAAAAAATAATAATAATAATAAAAATAAAAACACTACTTAGAATCGTATTTAGGGTGGGCGTGGTGGATCACACCTGTAATTCCAGCACCTTGGGAGGCTGAGGTAGGCGGATCACTTGAGACCAGGAGTTCAAGACCAGCCTGGCCAACATGGTAAAACCCATCTCTTCTAAAACAAATAGAAAAAATTAGCTGGGCATGGTGGTGCATGCCTATAATCCCAGCTACTTAGGAAGGTGAAGCACGAGAATTGCTCGAACCTGGGAGGTAGAAGTTGCAGTGACCTGAGAGCGTACCACTGCACTTCAGCCTGGGCGACAGAGCGAGACTCTGCCTTAAAAATAAGCCAAAGGATGGGCGCAGTGGCTCATGCCTGTAATCCCAGCACTTTGAGAGACCCAGGCAGTGGATCACGAAGTCAGAATATTGACACCATCCTGGCAAACATGGTGAAACCCCATCTCTACTAAAATACAAAACAGCGC